ACATTAGCCCCTTTTATGTTTCTTTTGGCAGGTTAAGATGCAGTAGAGTGCACTGTACAAGATAGTCTATTACATGTAATACCCAAAACAGAGTTATTGTGTGTCTATTTGGCGAAGCAAGCTGGGAGCATTGGGCCGATGGTGGTTTTGTTGTTGTTTTCGTGCTATTCTCGTGTTATTGCATTTCTTAAAACCAAGGAACACAGTATCCCCCGTGGGACATCCTTAATGCTATTTCCTATTCCGGTGAAGCCAAAATATAGGGATAGAGATAGGCGTAAGCCAACAAAACTGGAAATTGAAGATTTAACAAGTTTAGGGGTAGGAATAAATCATGATTATTCAAGGTTAGTGCACTCAACACAATAAGCCAGCAGAAGCTACAAAGGTTACAGTTACAGAAGGGAAAGACAGCTGTAAAATTATAGTTAGCAGGTCGCCAGGGCTAGCTTAAATAAAAAAGAAGATTACAATGAGGGAATGATACCGGGCGGCAAGGCTAGCTTGAAAGAAGAGTGCAATCTCAAACATGTCATCCTTCTTCTTTCTGTCTTTCTGCCGAGGTATCGCAGCTCCCGCTGACTTATTTCCTATTTCCTATTCCGGTGAAGCCAAAATAGGGATAGAGATAGTCATAAGCCAACAAAACTGAAAATCAAAGGCTCAATACAAGTTAGGGGTAGGAATAAATAATACAAGTTAGGGGTAGGAATAAATCATAAATATTTAAGGTTAGTGCAATCATCACAACAGCACAATATGCCAGCAGGAGCTGTAAAGATTAGAGTTACAATAAGGGAATGGCAGCTGGTAAATTATAGAGTAGTGGGCGGCAACACACGACGTAGTCAGGTGTTGTCGCTAGGGCTAGCTTAATAAAAAGAAGGTTGCAATGAGGGAATAAATGATACCGGGCGGCAACACACGATGTAGTCGGGTGTTGTCGCCAGGGCTAGCTTGAAAGATGGGTGCAATCCGAACAAAATCCTCCTTCTTCTATCGGTCTTTCTGCCGAGGTATCACAGCTCCCGCTGACTTAAAAAATAATGAGTGCTACGGCACCGTAACTCCTAGTAAGTATGGTACGTGCGTTTGAAAAGCACAAGTCCTCGAAGCACCTCTGTCCTTACAAGATGCCCCTGGTGGTGCCAACCACAGAAATAGAATAGCAGAAAGGGGTGTAAAATACTCATTAGTTTAGCAAACTATGGCCACGGAGTGGCTTTTATGACGCGGGCAAGTGGTGGGGAAGCCCCCACCTAGCTGAGTCGTCATCTACTTATTTGCCCAATCAACATGACCTCATCCACTGGCCCAACGTGGAGCCAGCACCAAGTAGACAGATGCCCTGGGTAGGGGGTGACACATTGATAGGGAACCTGCACGCAAAACCTGGGTTACAGGGCTTACACAGGATTTTTGTCGGTATTGAACCATTATCACCAAAGGGACCGTGAGGACCAGTTAGATTGCCAGACCAAAGAGTGCTCGCCAGTAAGTGTGTCTGGGTGATCAGGTCCCAACTTGGCAAGGCTTGGCATGCAAGGCAAGATTCAGCAGAGCCCGTAGGATGGTACTCCTCAGGCTGGACCAGAGCAGGTGTAACCCATCCAATGCACAAAAATTGTTAGATAGAGGCCAACAAGCAGGCAGAAGATGGGGTCAAATGAAACACTGGCAGTGTGTGGTTCCCAGGAGGGAGGCACAGTGGCTGCTGAGTGTTGTGGGCTTTCGAGGGGTTGTTGAGTAAATAGGAGGAGGATAAGGGGCACTGGGATGGGGCTGGTGCCAGGGGAGGCAGGAGGGGATCCTGTTGGTGTTGGAGTGTTGTTGTAGTAGTTGGGATGTAGCATGGTTGATGGTGTGTTGTAGATAGAGGCGTGCCTGTGTTCAAGGTGAGAACAAAGGCATCCTCCCTGATAGGGTAGGGTGGATTCGGAAGGGTGTGACCCTCAAGATGGCTGCATGTCTAGGAGCTGTTGGCTGATCATCTGAGGGGTGATGTTGTGTAGTCGGCGGAGAATGGTGGATGTGTGGTTGTGGGTGAAATGAGGAGTGGGGGAATGTCTGGGAGACCTTGGGTTTGAGTGAAGTTGTGGGTAGACATGGGGAATTCATGGTGGGTGGTAGGTGGGTTGGTGGGAGAGTTGTATCCTGGAGATTGACTGTAGTGTCGTTGCTTCAACGCAAGCAATGGAGGTTGTTTGTGAGGTGGCAGATGATTGATGTAGAAGAGGTTATTAAAGGGGCAATGCACTGAGGCACTGGTAATCAAGGTTTATATCAAGTTGTTGGGTTGTTGTTGCCACTGGATCAAAGGCTGTGGCCAAGTCTGTGCAGGTATACCACTATGCAGGAGAAGATGGATCAGAGCCAAAGGCTGTTAGGGATTCTTTCAGGAAAACTGGAGAAGTCACGCTATAGCCAGTAGAGGCAGTGGTGGGGGGTCAAGGGTGTTGTTGGTTGGGGCTGTGTACTGGATGACACTGTGTTGTCTCAAGGTCTGGTACTCAACCTGTGTAGGGTCAGACATGCAACAGAGAGTCAAGCCAAGATGGGAGGGTACTCGATTCAGGTGGAAACTGTGGAAAGTCACTGGAGAGTCACTCAACAATCAATGAGAGAGAGATGAGTCAGTTATGTATTAATATATCTATGCCACACCACGCTGCATTTCTGTCTGGGGCTCAATCTTTGGAGTTCCAAACTCATTAGGAGAGCAGTGCAGAGCAGAGAGGTGGCGGTGTCAATGAAGGTTGCACAATCTGGTTCAGAGGGCAACTTTTGTAGTTGTTCTTGTGGGGGTAGGTCCTTTGGAGAGGAGCTGGATATCCCAGGAGAAGGCTGACGAGGCCAATCCTGGTGTCCAAGGAAGGAAACTATCTCAGTACTCCAGCGAAAAAGCTGAGTTAGGGTCCAACTTGTAACCAACTCAAGTCCTACAGGAACTCTGTTGTTGTTTGTGGTTTCCTCTTGGGGAGGAGTTAGATATCAATGGAGGGGTGGTAACAGTAGCAGGTGTTGATCAGTCAATCAGTCTGTATAGGGATAGACTGGTTGGATCAGTAGGATACAGTTCCAACAAGGACGTCGGAGAAACCACTAGTCGGTGAGAAGTAAGAATACAGGTGTAATTCTCTTCTGGTGGTCCTGAAGGTATCTCGTGAAGTCCTTCTTGATAGTAGGCTCGTACGGAGAAGAGGTACGTATCGGGGGAGGTGTCGCGGGAAGATCGGATCGATCAACGGAGGAGTTCGATTGGATTTGGTTCGATTCGATAAGATCGATTGCGATTGAAGATTCGAATGAGTCAGTTGCCTTAGGGTAAGGTTAACTGAATCTGTTGTTGCGGAGGGAGATGGATCGTTCGAAGAGAGATCGACATAGGATTTTCGTCGGCGCGACTTGTTCAGACAAATACGTATGGGATTGTTTTCTTACGGCTAAAGGGAGACTTCTGTTTAATTTTCCAACTTGGCTCGTCGGTCGAGAATAGAAACGCCCGAGATCGCTGGGTAATTTTTTCTGTACTGTGCTGTGAAGCCGGAGACTTCTTCTGTGTTCAATTCTTCAACTTGGGTCGCGGTCGAGAACGCCATTTAGGATTTCAATTGGATGCTTCTATCTGGAGAACGCCGCGTGATAGTCTGGTGCAGAGGTGCAAGGGATAGATCCTGTCAACCGTGAAGGTTGAATAGGGGAATGAAGGAAAAAGGGGGATGTGTGTGTTCCGTGATGACGTTGAGTGGATTCCTATAGGAACAGTACTCTTCAACGAAATAACAGATAACAAGCTTCCTGAGGTCCTTTCGCTTCGTTTCAATGCTTCTAATGGTGCTTGCTAATAGGTAGTGTAATGGTATAGGTATGACCGATTGGTTGTGTTTGTTGCTATCAGTGTGGTTCTTGTAGTGACAGATTCAGAGGGGAAGCTCCTCGATTCGATTCGGCTTCCCGTGAAAAAGTGAAAAAAAAAATGAAAAAAAATGAAAAGAAATAGAATAGCAGAAAGGGCTGTTAGTTGATTGGCAAATAACTAATACTTACTGCCATGGGCTCCCAGCTTTAGACAGCTACAATTTGAGCAACTCTCCAAGCCAGTGACAGGGCTCTAAAGCAGCATTCTCCCAGCTCGACTTCCAGTCAATTAGCATTAGCTAGCTACCAAGCAACCCTCCCAGCTAGTGACATGGCTCCCTAGCAGTTTTCCTAGCTCCTTCCCCGTCGTACTAGTTCCAGCCCCATTCCTGGTCGTACCACGCCTGCTGGCCTGAGCCCAGCTAGTTAGCCTCAGCTTCCCAGTCAGTGACATCTCTATAGAGTTTCTCCTGAGCAGCTCCGTTCCCAGCTCAATGCCCAAATGCTCCTCCTGCTGAGAGCCTCAGCTATGCAGTTAGCATTACTGCTAGATAGAGCTACCAAGCAACCCTCTTAGCCAGCAGAGGAGTTGGGTCGGTATGAGGAGTGGAGTTGGGTTACATCTGGCCGGCACCGTGCAATCACATGTCCCGCCCCCTACCCTGCCAGCCTACAGTGTGACGTATGTAGAACCTCTGTAGAAAAAGTACTAGAAATGAGTACTACTTAAATCACAGTGCAGCTGTTTAAAACATGCGAAGTGCAATATCGTGAAAGAAGCGAGGGTGACAATGGTGAAAACGACGGCTCATCTGGTCTAGATATAGTTGTTCATACTGCGCTCCCTTCAGTGAGAGCCTTGCTTATACCATTGCCAAGACACCCCCAAGTGGAAGTACAGTTTGGGATGCGACAACGCTTTCAAAAATGAATTATCTAGAGGCGCAACAACAGCTCGCGGATACCCTCAGAGCTGCATCACAGAAGACGAAAGCTTACTTCTGGAGGCTTACTTGCAATGAACCAAACAGTCTTTGTACCTTTCTTGGCATAAACGAAGAGGAAATGAAGTCAATCCTGAGACTCTGCCGCGTTTACACTGGTAGAAGGACAATATCTCAAAAAATAATTTCGAACCGCTCATGGGGCGCTCCGGTGTTGATTGGACGACATATCGATTGAATGGCAAGGCAGAGCGTTTTATCAGGATTGGTGTTGGTAATGAGGTAGAGCTTCCCAATGATATGTATGACAGAGAGGGATCTTTGACTTGCTATCCAGTTGAGGAAGAACACAAGACAAATTTTCGCACCAAGTCGGAGCAAGGTTGTGTACCAAAATTGCTGGAAGCAGCGGCCGATGTCAGCAGCAGCAGCAAGAAGGAAGCTGAACCAACCGGCAAAGCTAGCAATAAGCAACTAGTAATGGACTTATCACCAAAGACTCTTCTTTTGGGGTTTTTCCAGGAACTAGTAGAAGATGCAGCGAAAACCGGCATCGGCACAGTGAAAGAAAGATCAGCACGGAAGCTGAAATGTCTTATGGAAGTGGCAATTGAAGTTGAAGCAAAGGAGCTACTACACGAAGCAGTTGCGACACTTGAGATGGGTGCAAATAAACTTGGAATCTCAATGGAAATAGAAGCGGCATCCCCAAAGAAAAATGAACCATCTGTCAAAGAACCGCAAGTGGTAACTCCAACAAATGCAAATGTCCGTCAACAAGACAAAGACACCAATCCACCGGTAACCGATCAAGAAGCAAACGTCCAGCAAGTAGGAAATGCTGTAGAAAAAGCAACTGAACTGGAAGAGGAATTGGAAGATGACGAAAAGTCAACAAGCACAGCAGATGAATTCATCTTGGAATTGCAAGAAGAGGTGTTGCTCCAGTCGCTCCTGCATAAGCAAATTCATGAAAAGAAAGAGCGAGTCTTTACTATGGAGCACAAAAATGGAAGGCGATTGCTGGTGGTTCTTCCTCCTGATACCCGATCAGTTGCTAAGTTTGAGGAAGAAGCCAAGAGGACCAACTGGGTGAACACAATGCTCAATACTGAAGAGCGAATGAATGGAATGCTATCATACCTGGCAAAGACATCGCCAAAGCAATACGCGAAGGTTGGAACAGACCGGAAGATCAAGATGAGGCCAAACGTCCTGAACACAGCCCAGACTGTTGCTCTGGCACGTGTTGGGAACCTCAATGATGTGCGGATGAAGAAGGTCAAGTCATTTCTTAAGAATGTTGGAAAAGTCAATCTTATACAATCAACCAAAGAGATGAGCCGAATCGATACTGAGGTTGGGCTTAAGCGGACAATGGATGTGATGTTTGGTTCTTGTGTCTATGAGTGGTCGAAGACAAAAGGAAAGGAAAAGAAAGCACCAGAGGAGATTCACTACTGGAATGCGTCGCTCTTTGAGGAGATAGAAGCAGAAGTAGACATTCACTTGAAGCATCGCTTCCTACAAGAGAGCGGAAAGGACAAGATCAACAACAATATCCCACTTCTCGATTACAAGGCAGACGGATTTGACAAACCGGGTGTGACAATCCTATTTGGAGGTGACCACAGTGACAAAAACTGCCCCATAAGTGCTAAGCTGAACTTTGCTTCTCCAGTAACACGCAAGACAAAGAAAATGCTTGGTAACGAGTGTCCTGTCATTCAATTCGCCAGTGTTCAATGTTCAAAGGACGCTTATTATTTGATGGAGACTACTGTCATGCCTACAATAAAGCAACAATTGATTCGTCTGAAGGAAAGTTCTGTTGTGACTGTCTTCCACAAAAAGAACTGTCATGGCTGCTATCGATCCTTTGTTGTTCCATCATCCATCCAAGAAGGAACAATCGGCTTCCTTAGCAACCAAGACAATACGGCTATCACAATGACATATGCTCATGGTGGTCAGGACCAATCCACCTTTGGTTCTCTTGTCTTGAAGGAACCATTCATTGCCGTTCCTTACTATGAGCTGGGAGCCAAAGTTGTTATTGGCCGGTTCAATGAATTATTCATTGGCGATCTTGCTTTCCTAGCGATGTTGATAGGAATGAACGGCAGCAGTGGAGCGCACTGTCTTCTTTGTCAGCTGAAAGGAAGTCAGTTCAACTGCGATCATAACTCCATGGAAGTCAGATCGAAGGAATCGCTTTCCGACTGTCTTGAGCAGTATCTGTTGCTTCTCAATAATCAACAAAGGAAGAAGCCCCCCACAAATGTCAAAGGCGTCAACAGCACTGGACTGCTCGACATCGATCCACAACGAATTGTTATTCCAATCCTTCAAATGCACTACGCTAAAAGCTAGTGTAAAGATCTTTCGAGTGTTTTGAGTTTGAGAGAATGAAAGTTATGAGAAGTTCTGAGAGAGATTAGAAAGCTATGAAAACTAATCAACGAGAGAGATCATCATCAAGGGATCGTAGATCTGGCTTCCCGCGGGAGAACTATAAAGTGTGATAGAGTAGGTTGCGGTGTAATCCTACGTCTCTCCACGATCCTAAAACGGAACGCGTGGAAGGTTTGTCTAGCCTGGATCTAGTAGCGTGGAAGTACTCCACGCTGGCTAAATATCTAGAGCGATGTTCATCATCAACCTAGTATGACAGCGGTATATTGAGAACCTGTCTCAAATGACTATTCACGAGAGACTCAGTCATGAGTCGAACTCAAACCTATCTAGGATCGAGTCGCGAATAAGGCTAAGAGCCGTGTATTGCATTCGCCCCCTGACAAGGGTCACAGAAGGCGCGACAGCAAGTCGGACAAGGAGAACATATGAATTAAAGTGCGGGGCACTCTCATGAGATTTGGATGTAGACATGTGCATCGCACGATGGCAATCCTACAAGGGGATCAGGCCTTGTATGGTGTATATACTTATGTTCCAAGTCAGCTGGTAGACTGTGCCGCCGTTGGCGGTAGCATGTTGGAGCCGTACAGGTCCATTGTCATTGACTCGTCTATAGTGTAAGGACCTTTGTACTTGGCTGACCGTACTTGCGTGCTGATACCGTTGAATCATCCGGTACGTTGACATTGTTTGAGATGGGGACACGCGTCGCGTTTCCCTGTCGTTGTTTTGTTGGATTAGTCGTTGGCGACGTCCTTATGTATTTCCAGTTGGCTTCGAACGGACGTTGTGAATCGCGTCACGATTGAACACGAGCTGTGCGGGCGTTGCGCGCAAGGTGGTATGAATCGTGGCATTCATTGCAAAGCGAACCGCCGTGAGGACTCCATCCAGGATCCATTCACGAGGTCGTTTGGCACTTGATGTTTTGAACAGCATCAGTTACGTATGGTTTGATGAGCACGCTCGACCATAGAGTTGGCTTGAGGTTACGCGTAGTGATGAACTTCGACGAGTCCATATTCATCCGGAGGTCTTTCGACCTCTGCGAGGGAACTCGGCTCCTCTATCCCTGATAACCTAGCAGGCCATGGATACGGAGTAAGCCACGTTTGTTCTAGGACGATGTCTACTTCGTCTGCTGCCTTGGAGCAGATTTCTGAATCTCGAACCATCCGGTACGGGATCAATCTTGTCAAGCAATGAAGTGTGCAGGAATTCTTTTCTTAGGATCCCCGACGTTGTGAAGGGCCTATCAGGTCAATACATAGTCTTTCCCAAGGGTCTCCTCGCAAGTTCTTTGGAGGCATCAATCCCGCTTACGCGTCTTGGGTTTTGTCATCTGGCAGCTTTGGCAACGCTGACATAGCCTGCACAGTCTTGCCAGTCCTTTCCAGGGTAATGTTGGCTGATGGTAGTTCTGTGGAGTCTCGCCAGGATGCATCAGTACACCATGGTACCATTAACTAGCTTCTTTTCTGCATAGTTTTAGGTACGACGATTCTATCGTCCTTATAATTCTAAGGCGTAAGCTTATCCCCTCTGGGGAAAGATTGCTTTCTTGTAGTCTGTTGGCTTGTCCCTGAGGAGTTTCTTGATATCGTTTTTTTGCGTCTCTCTGACGATGTTCGATCTCGACGGAACGAGAGAGGGGACGTCCGCTAGGGAAGTTCTCTTCGTCGCAGCCATGAGGTCAGCGTATCTTGCTTGCGTCCATCTGTTCTCGAAAACCGTCGTTGTTGGAGAAGTTAAGTCTCGACAACGCATCACGCGACGATCGCCTCTCTGTTCGCCCTTGATGTACCGTTAGTTCAGGCCGTATTCTTCCAGAATAAAGCGCCACGCAACTCGCATTACTGCGATCTGTATTGAAGTTCTTACATCGTACAGATTTTTTGGTCCGTATGTACATCGTCTTCTGTCCTCAGAATAAATGTTACGGAACTCTCTTTATGAGTTTCTACGATACGAGCAGTTCCTTTCACGTAACTGATTGTAACTGCTGAGCAGGTTGAGCTTCCTGCTCGCTAAAACGCGATGGTTTTCCCTTCTGGGTAATGTTACTGCACCTAGTTGATTATCACTCGCATCCGTTGATGGATAATAATGTATCGTTTAAGTCAGGGTAGGCGAGCAAACTTCTTTTTTGCTGATGATCTTTTTATCTGGCTAAAGCTTTTCGTGTTCCGCTTCCCATTTTCCCTTCGTTGTTTTGGAAGCCAACGAAGCGAGTGGGGCCAGTATAATGTGATCGTCTAATCCACACAGTCTCGCGATAATAGTTTCACTAGTCCTAATGAAATCTCGTAGTTTCTTTCTGTTGTAGGCAGGGGTAGACGAGTTACGGATCGCGTCTATTTTCGTTGTTAGGTCGTGGATCCCTTCTCGTAGAACCGTTAACATCAACGCGATTCAAGTTCCCTCCTTCCGCGAGTTAGACAGGCTTGGTAGCATGGTCTTAAGTCCGTGCTTCATCAAGACTTCGGAGAACTTCATACAACTTCTCAAGTGATCTAGCTAGATCGCCTTTAGTTAGGATGATTAGATCATCAATGTATGCAACGGACGTAATTCTAGGTCGTGCATTATATGTACCATCTTGTCTTGGTAGACACTGTCTGCACGTGGCTACGTTAATGAGGCCTCATTTGGCCCTTGGTACTATACGTACTTACCCCACGGGAGTTACGATACTACAGTTGGTTCGAGTATAGGTGGACAGCCTCGATGTATAGTATCCATGTTCAGGTTCTGACTTAGCGTACTTCGATCCATCTGGATTCAAGAGCATGTCTTGTTTTTCGTGATAGGATAAGGCTTCCGCTTAATCCTTTTTGTTCAGTTTCCCTGAATACAAGAGAGAAGTCGTACAGATCCATCTTTCTGGGAATGTAAAAGTTGCGTGCCCGCCCACTTCGGAACGGTTTACCTTCTTGAGTACCTCTGCCTCGCAGAGACGTTACACCTCCATCTT